GGCGTCCTTTCAGAATATATTCCCGTCTTCACAGGAAGCCAATAGGAAAAGATCATTAAATACTGAAAATCCGATTGAGCTCGTCTTTTTCATTCAGGTTTATATTTTATTTTGGTAAAAATAAAACTCAAGAATTGAATCCCAAACAAGTTTGAAAACTTAATGGCCGAATATCTCAGTGAGCCTCACCTGTCAGTCCACTACACAGACTCAAAGGTCCACTGATCTATCTGTGTCTGGGGGGGGGGGGGTCATCAGCAAGGAGGAGGAGTGGTGGGTCGAAGGGTTAGCAGCAACTGTCAGGTTAACCACCGTACTGGGGATGGGATGGGGGCGTTGGGGGGGGGGGGGGGGGGTCATGGAGGGAGTGAGGGTTGCAACTTCCTACCCGGGGACTAGCCTGACTGATGGAAATAAAAAAGAAAGTCCCCTCATGACCCCCACCCGGTTGCCCCCCAGCCGTGAAGAGCCGGACGGGAGTAAAGCCCCCCATTGTTGTCCCCTCACACAGGATCACCAGGGCCCCCGTCGTTGAGAGAGGGACGGGGGGGGTGGGAAAAAAGGATGGGGCTGGTGTGGTCCGGGTGGGTATGGGGGGAGACTTTCCCGCCGCCGGGGGGGGTCAGCCCGCCAGCTCAAACACAATCGTGTGATAGGACTTGGCCCTATCTAATCAAGTGCAGGAGGTCACTTCCGAACAACTGGGCAATAAAAGATTTTTTCATCGGCCCATAACAGGGGAGCCGTTGAGGGGGGGGGGGGGGGCTGTCTGTGAGGAGAGGAAGTGAATTGAAAAAGGCCAGCAGACGGGAACCATCTGTCTGGATGCATAGTCTAATCTGAAAAAAAAAAAAGAAGAAGAGGAGGGAATGAATGGGGAGGAAAGGGTGGATGAAGAATGAGCTTCTCCTTCCTCCTCCTCCAGACGCACGCAAATCTGTCCATCAGTCCGTCTATCTGCCGCTATTTATCTGACGTGCGTATGTGGTGCTGCTTTATGTTGTCCTCGGTTGGGATATCAAAGGGAGGAACTGAACAAAAGTGTTTGTAGGGGGCCTGGAATGCCGCAGCGAGCACACAAAACGGTCCCCCGAGGCCGTTAAAAAAAAGGGGGACAAGGACGCGATGTTGTCAGTCAGGCCGCGTGAGAAACAGCTAACAGAGACACGGCGACGCGCAGGCTCCTTGACCACTTTCTGGCCCATTTTCCTTTGACGCTACGGTGAAGATTTTCGTGTAAATTCAGATTTTTTTTGGGACAGTTGAATAAAAAAATACAAATCCCCCACCCCCCACCGTGAGCTCCGGGCCTCCCTTAAACCGCTCTGAGCAAATCGAACGCCTCTCGACAAGTGTCCGTCTCCAGTTTGGACACTGAGACGAACGCCCCGCTGGTTTAATTAGCGGGCGGAATACGAAATCACAAGCCGGCCTATTGGGGGCCGCCGCAGCTGCCAAAGGCCTTCGCGCGCAACTTCGCAGGAAAGAAGTGACACTTTGAATACTGATGAGTCAATCGCCCCGATGAGACAGGAGCCATTTGTCAAGAGCGGAATCCCGTCCGTGGCCCGAAAAAAATAACGCCCGACCATTAATTATTAAAAAAAAAGGAGCCAATTGAACGCTTGCCAAGGGTCGTGTGTTGTTGCATTGAGCAGCGGGGCTCCTCCCCCTTTCTCATTGCCGCCGCCGCCGCCCGCTCCAACCGGCCTTTGTCTATAAAACGGCACACAAAGACGAGCGACAGGAAGGGGGCTCGGGGAGAAGAATGTGGTATCAGATAGCTGGTACGCTGCAAACACACATAAGTAGGGTAGGAGGGGTGTGTGTGTGTGTGTGTGTGTGTGTGTGTGTGAAGGTTTTACGCCACAGTTCCTGTGGGTGGGCGTGTGCACCCAGGAGCAAAAGCTTAAGGGGCTCAAGCCCCAATGAAACACCTCCGTCCTGAATGGCCCTCAACACCTGATAAAACACCGGGTCGTCCCCCCGCGGGCCCTTTATGGGTCCCGGGGAGGAACTGGGACACCTAACGACCGTGTACGAATCACTCGTCTGACAAACAGGAAGCAGCCAGTGGCATCTAACCGGAGTCTTCTATACGTTTCAGCGGGACTAAGATACCTAGTAAAGTTTTGATGTGGAGGCAAAAATCTCATAGGAAACTTTTTTTTTACATGTGAATAGAAGTGTTTTTCAGCTTCAAACGGAACTTGTTTTCCCAGCTGCTGAGCAGTCGGGTTCATTTGTATTTGTAAGGGATTACCTTCGCTCAGAACATCCCTCCGTGACATTTTTCGAGATTTATTTTCTGCACGAACCACAGTAGGAACTCCAGTCTACAATCACCTCTCTCAGATCTGCAAAGTCAGTCGACCTTTTCCGTTGTCGTGCCGACGCGTCTTTATAACATCATCTCTCTTAGGTGACGAGATCGTATCTCCCAGTTGGGGGATTTTGACGTTTTAGGTTGAATTGAAGGATTACATGTTCCTCTGTGGATTGAGAACATTCTCCAAACCAAAAGCTGTTATATGAACTCTGAAATGCAGGGTGGTCGAGGCAAACACGCGGCGAACTTTCTTATTTACCGAGATGTTTACATTTTGGAAATGGTGAATTACTTCATCAGGACCTGCACTCAAATGTTTTATGACCGTCTAATGTTTTTTTGCAATGGGATTTTAATCCCGTGGAGGCCGAATGTGGATGTTGGAGCCGTTTCTAAACACATCGGCTCTCACATGTCCCTCCAGCACGCCGACTTCATCCAAAAAAACGAATATCTGAGAAGATAACTTCCATAAACTTTGGTCGTTATGCTGAAGTCCAAAAAAGCCGCCTTCCTCTCCAAAACCCACTAACCCCCACGTCTCCCCTGATTGCTAATTTCTATTTATACGCCATGAGGGTGAAATAATGAAAGCCAGATGAGGAGGCGGAGGGAAGCTGAAGCAGGCCTTTTGGTGAGGAAGGCGGAGGAGGTGGAGGATGACTGTTTATGGAGCATCCTGCTCCATCGCGGTGCCCTGGCTCAGAGGAGGACTGCCCCGGTAGGACGTGTGGGTTGGAGGTTCCACCATGACTCACTTGGTAGTCATGCGTGTTTGCACTTGTACACCACCCCCCTCCCCCCCAAGTAAAAACCCCAAAGCTAAAGCAAGAGACCCGCCAAGCCTGACGACTCTAAATAGCGTTACGTGGGTGTGTGGAGCAGCTGAATTTAGTCTGAAACAAGTGCAAAGCGAAGGAGGAGGGAGGCCTTGTGACCATAACATTGAATTACTGACTCACACACGTGGTCCCGGGATGAGCAGAGACTTTAACGCAGCCGAGTTCTGGAAATGGTGCGAGTAGGATACGTTTCCTTATTTGGCTTAGGGTTGGAAAATATCAAGTAAACACCGGCTTCCTGTCCACCACCTCCTGAACGCAGCTACGATCTCGTCCGCCCGCCTTCATCCGTGCAGGGGAGCTATAGTGCAACCCGAAAAGAAAAAAAAGGCCTCCTATTGTTTGCCGTCATCCAGGAGGCGGCAGCAAACGGGGCTCGAATTGCAGCTCTGAAAGGTGACAGGAAATTGACAAATCACTAATCCGCTCTTCACTATTCAAGGCAACAAAAGGTACATTCCACCCCAAAAAATAAAAGGGAAAGCACAGACGGCCCGTTTGGGGGGGGACGGTTCATTCGACGCAGACGGCTGGCGGACGGGTTATGAGACGGCATGCTGGTGGAAGCATGGTCAGCTAACTTAACAAAAGCAACGAGATACTTCCTTTTGGGCTCGCGTTTACCTTTCAGCTTCTCCTAAGAACTCGTTTGCTAAACTGCCTCAGCTTTTCCTGTGAGGGGGTCCGAGCTCCCGAACGGGCAGAACCCAGTGCAAAGATCCCCGGTCCTGTCGCCCCGGAGCTTTACCGAGGGTGCCGCCGTCGCACGCAGCCGATTCCAGACGCCAGTTGCGTTGTTTTCTGCAGTTTTCCCAACCCTGACACCCCCCCCCCCCCCGAGTATTTCTCTCCCTTCTTCTTTGTCCCTGAGGAATTCCTGGTCACAGTTTGTGTTTCCCCAACTGTTGGCATTACTGGCTGACCAACCAACTTTCAAAGTGATGATCTCATCCCCCGGGGGGCCCAGAGGTGAAAAGGGGGAAGTGGGTGTCAGTGTGTGTGTGTGTGTGTGTGTGTGTGTGTGTGTGGGGAGGGGGGCTTGCGGCAGACTTCCCAAGTGATAAATTTACTGACAAAAAGAGGCGGCCAAATGGGGTGGGGGGGGGGACGTGGGCTCTGGGTTCGCCCCTGTCGTTGCCTTTAGTGCAGGAACCACGCCATAAAAGCCCAGCATTGATAGCCCCGGTTTATTATCCCTGAACAGGTGGCCCGGCGGCTCGTAATGGTCCCTCTCGTTTCCCAAGACACACACACACACACACACACACACACACACACACACTCACACTGTCGGCCTCCACAATGTGAAGACCATTTGGGAGTTTGGGAACATCCCGATCGAGCTGTATTAAAGCCCACGCGGGGAAATGCATGGCGTAGTTCTGCGGTGACATAGAGTGTGTGTGGGTGGGGGAGGGGGAAGCTACTTCCTGCGAGCATAACTCATGGAAACGTGCAGGCTCTGTTGATGCTAGTAGCTCCGGGGCTAATCGTGTCAACGACCTGCATTGTTTAGCTTTCAAGGTTGCCGAGGAGAATCGCAGCAAAGGAGCCCTCCGAGAATGTAAACAGCCACATTTCAAGCTACAAGCTGTTTCTACTCACTGCTGGATTTTTTTTTTTTTTCCCCCCCCAGCAGGAATTCCTCACTCGGCATGAACATAGACAAAGACACGCGCGCACACACACACACACACACACAAACAGTGATTAGCTGTTCGCCATTGAACTCAAACTCCTGAAGCCTTAAAATGAGCCATCAGGAGATCTTTCATTCCTCCAGAGGGTCGCTGTCTTCTCAGCAGCTCAATCAAGACACCAGACAGGGCTGTTTTTTTCATTAATTAATATATTTTCTGCATTAAAGTTAACATAGTTTTCTTTTGTGCCACCCTTTAATTTTTCATTAAGTATTTGATATTTTGTTATATTCAGACATGAGTAAATTTAAGACTGTCTCTTGCAATAAATATCATAAAATAATAGAGCTTCACATAATAAATATTTTTTACATCAAAAAAAAAAAAATGTTTTAACAGACATTTTTTTCTTTTAAAAAATAGCCAGAATTCCTCTTATGGATTTTGAGCATACAGTTGACACAAAAATAAAGAAGAAAATAACAACAACAAACAAACATGTGACAATGCCACCAAATGTGTATGATGAGTCCAGATGGGTGGAAGGAGAGAAACATATCCAAGTGGAGAAAAAAAAAAAAGAAATACTATGAGATGGATGTGCTTTCGTTAATGCAACATGAGCAGAGGAACCACGGTTTTAGTGTGGCAGGAAAACCAATAAATTCAAAGATACCTGCTTGCTATGAATAACAGGTAACAGCTACATAATTGCCCTATAGTAGATCATCCTTCACAGATGGTGCGAGGCAGCTGCCCCTGGGCACACAGGACCAGAGGAAACTGCCTACCTAAAAACGGAAGAGAAACTTATTCATATACATAAAAAAAAAAAAAAAATAGACTTAATGACGAGCCGGGGACAGACATGGAAACAGTTAAGGCAAACACTGGTCTGTAAAAAAACATGGTCCTGATCCAGAAAAAAAAATGAAAATAATCGAGTGGTTTTCGTTACTCCTCTGCTTAGCTCCTTAGGTTCCCGCATCGAGGATGGGCGGCTGGTGGGAGGCGCTCAGAGTGTTTGCTAAACGTTAATTTGTGACTTATCATTGTCATCATAAGATCCACATTGAGAGTCTCCCACAAACACAACGGGGGGGGGGGGAGGGGGGGCGATCAGGAGGGTTTCTCCTGGCTCTGTTGGGCCCAGCTCTCCAGTTTGCAATAGACAGTGTTGGAGTTCTTGCAGCGGCAGCCGGGCCTGTTGACCCGGTCGTAGCAGCCCTGGCTCGCCTTCAGGCACCCTTTGACGGGCAGGTAGCACAGCAGACAGGGGAAGAGTACCGACATTAATCCCATGCACAGGAAACGGGAGCAGCAGTGGGAGCGTGACAGCGAGCAGGGCTGGTCGGCGCACGAGTCGCCCTCGTCGTCGTTGGAGCAGTGGTAGAAGATGCCCTTGACCAGGCACATGCAGGTGCCGTGCTCCAGCGCGCTCTCGGCCGAGCACAGGCACTGGCCGTTGCACGCCAGGCACGACGGCAGGCTCCTGGGCGCCGTGCAGTCGCCGCACTTGCACTTGCCGCAGCGCTCGCAGATGAACTGGTGGCCGGCGGCCCCCACCCCTTTGCCCGAGGCGGAGAAGTCTGACTTGCCCTTGCCCGGGGGCTTGAGCGGAGCCTCCGGCGGAGGCTGGTGGAAGTGGGGTCCCTGCTGGCCCTGCGAGAGCGCCTTGGGCTTGGGCTGCGTCCGAACGGGCCGCTCCGCTCTGTGGTGGTGCTGCAAGCTGGCGCCGGGCCGGGCGGGGGGCGAGCGGGCCAGGAGCCCCTGTTCGGAGGAGGCGCTGCTGTTGCTCCCTGAACTAGCGGCACTTCCTGTGCTAGTGGAGCGGCTGAGCCCCGGGGCCCGGGACCCGCCGTACTGCTGTCCCCCGCCCGCCGCCACCACCACGCCGCCGCCGCCGCCCCCGGCCTGGTGGTGGTGGTGGTGGTGGTGGTGGCCGCCTGACGGCCGGCGCTCATAGTTGTTGTTCACATTGACGAGGATGACCTCGTGAGTCCTCTCCTGCTTGTCCTGGGGCCTGGGGGCCACGCGGGGCGCAGGGGGCCTCCGCGCCACCGAGGGCCCCTCGGTGTACTCGTTGTTGGAGCGGATGGCCTTGATTTGGTCCAGGGAGAGAATGGCGGCATGCTGGAGCTCCCGCTCGTAATCCGACCTCTGTCGGCTCTCTAGGGAAGGCTGCTGGATCACCACTAATGAACCGCCGGGGCCATGTTGACTTTGGAGCTCCATCTGGGGGGATCACCACTTCCGACATTCACCGTGGACTTGGCATGCATCGGAAAACCTGCCAGAGAGGGGGGGGTGGGGGACAAAGGAGAGGCAGGGAGGGAGGGAGGGGACATGGTCAGACGGAGCCAACATGCTGATGGAAGAGGGGTGAACATTCAAATTCAAAGTGTCAGCATCAAGGCTGCTTCTAAACAACACCGGGACGATTCCGCAGGAGTAGAAAACACAACGCAGTTTGAAGTCAAATGAGCAATACCAGAGCTGTTTGAGGGCACGTTGACCCGGAATGGTTGTTGTCCTGTCAAGATGACAAAATGACACTTTTGATCCCGTTAAATGAGGCAACCCGGCAGAGAAAGAAAGTTGACTATTAAACAAGTACTTTTTCGTAGCTTCCTCCCCAATATGCACACATCTAACCTTCAGTGGGACCTACGAACACGTCCCCTCCTCATTTACATGTGTATGACTAGTTAACATTTAAATGCACCGCGGCGACGAGATGAGAACGCGATCCAAGGGAACTAAATGAGCTGCCGCACTTAGTATTCTATTACTGCGCCAAGAAGGGGACAAAAGTAGCGCAAAAAAATAGAGAAGGAAACTAAGGTCAGATCAAGTTCCGACAGAATACGGACTTTGCCTGATGAACGATCGGAGCACGCCGCGACTTCTTGGAGCGCATTTGCGGTATTTTTATCTTCACCCCGTAAACACGATTAATAATGTGGGGTCTGAGTCTTCGTAGACACGCGTCAAACCTCCCAGAGAAAAGTGAGAAAAAAATAAATAATCTATTTTGCCCAACAACAAAAACAACAACTATTAATTGTGAATAGCGAGAGAAGTGCGCACGAACCACCTTGCTATCCGCACAGGGCGCGTTCACGGGATCCTATGAAGACGCGCGCAGCCGGAGATAAGGAGACATTGGAGGACGCGTCCGCGCGGACGGGGACAACTTATGAATGAAAACAAGCGCCGTGGGGGGAAGGGTGTTCGTTACGGCGCGAGGACGCGTCCGCGGAGAGTCATTTAAACCCACAGCGGGGGGTCGGCGCGGTGGGGGCGGGTGGGGGGGGGGGGTGTAACAGAAATGTCCGTGTCAAACACACCAACACGTCACGCAAAGTGGTTGGATCGTTGCAGCGGTGTGAAAACAGAAAACAAACAAAAAAGAAGTTAATCGCTACAGCGGCGCAAACTGCGGCGCTGCGTGCGCTGTTAGCGCTTAATAAGACGTCACATTACACGTTAAAACAGGGCTGAAACAGTGCGGGAGACACGTACCTATGTGCAACCATCCATAACGTCGAATCCATCAACCAAGCAGCTGCAAAAACTCCATCCACCACGGAAAAGGGACAACGTCCAGACGGAGACTACGAAGTCTGGTGCATAACGTTCACCGCCGGTTAATCCAAGTAGGAGCGTATCCCTTCGCGGTATTCCCTTATCACTACTAGTGTGGTTCTCTTCTCGTGGTCTTAGTTCAGCGCGGGTTGCGCGTGCAATTCGTCCCAGAATAAAACCAAGTAAATCCACGATGGAGCTCTGGGAGGAAGGAACCCGGAGAAGTGCTGCGCACTTGCGGGGAGGGGGGGGGGAGAGGCCGTTTTGTAGGCGACCTACTTATAGAGGAGTCCCGCAGGAACAGACAACAAATAATACTAATATTAATTCAAATAAAATTTGAAAAAAAAAAACGTTGTCGGAGAAGTCAGGCGCGCGCGTGTAGATTCCAAGACGTCGTCCGGCTTCGAGGAGCCGCGGTGGACCTCGCGTGTTTGTCGCGGGGAATCTGCGCTGGCGCAACAACACAGGGGGGAAAAAAAACCAGCAGCAGCAGCAGCAGCGTCGTTGCGCTCACTTCGGCTCCGCGGGCCCGTTCAGCTCTGAATGAATGGGGACGCACGGCTCGGTGTTGGCTCCGCAGGGCCGACTCCCATTGGCCACCGCGTCCACTGAAAAAGGATACATCGCATCCGCTCCTGATTCATTGGGCAGATGTGGACGGAGACGTGCGCGCGCTTTAAGGTGGAACGGCTTCTCCTCCTTTCTTTTTGCCCCCCCCCCCCCCCTTCGGTCGCCTCGGCTGCTTTGCCGACTTGTGTAACACTAACCATGTGAACGAGGTGCATGTGACGGGGGGGGGGGGGGGGGGGGACAAACAACATTAAAAAAACAGTTTTTGTACATTTTACATTAGTTTGAAGCGTTTGTCTGCTCAGTTGTATGTAATTATAAGCATTTAACAGATATAAATACAAGCATTACACCAACATAGAGAAACAGAGGTATTGTGATGCGTATTGTCGTATGTTCAACACAACTCAATAGAAATATAATGAATACAAACCATGAAATAAACCAAAGAGCCTAATTGTAATTTAAGGTTGGCTTGAACTAAAACGCAGCGCATGGTTCCTGTGGATATTTTATTAACATGGTTTGTATCCAGGGCCCTGAAGGCATCTCAACTTTAAGTTACCAACACGTGAAGCCCCGCAAAGCTGACTCAATTAAAAGACCCCCGCTGGTGCTGGAACCACACTGTCTGCCGTCAAGACCATTCAGTGAGTGTGTGTGTGTGTGTGTGTGTGTGTGTGTGTGTGTGTGTGTGTGTGTGTGTGTGTGTGTGTGGAGAGGGGGGGGTGTTATCACCCGGATGTCTTTGGATGTTATGCATTGAAGTTTGCAATCAAATGTTCCACGATAACTGAGATAAGGATGTTTCCTCATCACTTGAAGAGACGCCCGGTGGTTTGAAGGGTTTACCCCGAGTCCACCTTAAGAAAAAAAAGCAGCCCTGCAGAGGAAAGACTCCCCCCTCTCCTCTCCCCCTCCCCACCTCCCCCTCCTCCGTTCCTGACTGTCTGGTTTGATTGGTGTCGCGGATGCGCCACATCCGGATCCATGAGAAAAGGAAGTTCAATACAAAGTCAATTTATCCCTTTCAATGGAAAAATCAATGGATGAATGACCTCCAGTGTCTCCTCGGGTCAGCACATGCTTTAAAGAAAGAAAAGGAAAAAAGGGGCACCGAGGTGCGGTGAGCGGCTCTGTGCCCTTTTAGAACGCAGCTCGTTGGGGATGAAGCAGAGCCGGTAGACCGACAGATGGCCGCCCGGATCCCCGCTCTTAGTGGTCGGAAGTGCGGACGGAAATCTCACGATTGCAGCAATTATGTGATTTTCCACGGATGGATGTGATGGACGCACCGGCCGCGGATGGGTTGTTTCCTGTGGAGCAGCAGTTCCCCGAACTGGTTTCGGAGCGCATTAGAGATTATTGAAGGAGGTGCAGCGGGTTTCCAGATAAAGTCCACTGTTTAATGCCGTATACATATAATAACAATTATTTTGTGATGGGGATTATTTAAGCAATAATGGAATGGTTGCAATTACTCATTCGTCTCCTTGAGAAAAAAAAATTAAAAACTAACAAATATCCCAAAGTGGCACCAACACAACATTATATTTATTGTGCTGATCAGCTCATTTGTGACTTATCTTTATGCCGTGGCGCTATTTCACTGTTAAAAACAAGGCAAACAACTGAATATACACAATGCATTTATTACATACATGTTGTTCCATCTACAATTACAAAAAAAGAAGTAATGTTCAACACACAGAATTCTTTATTTCACACAAGAAAGCCGCCCCTCGAGTCAGAAGAAGCTCAGGCCGCTCCGCCGCTGCTGATAGCTGATATACGACTGGATGAGAGAGTCGGGGATCCGGGGCTCCACCGTCCTCAGGGCGCTTTCAAAGTGTCCGGCCTCGACGTGCTGAGCTTTGATGTCCTCTTGCAGGGCGAGGAGCGCGGCCTCTCTGCATACTGCCGCTATCTGGGACGGGAAACAGACACACAGACGCTCAGCTGTCGGGCCCGAAGCGCTCCGTCCACCAAGCACCGCTGGATCACGGTGGAAGAGGCCGAAGGGCGTCACAGAACGTCAAACAACTACACGGGTCGAGGAGTAAAATCGCAACAACTAATCACAAAATATGCACATTTCAGTTCCCCTCATTCGCAAATAAAGACTCCGGACCGCTAAGCTGAGCGCAATTCTAACCGCTTTCCCCCACAAGACACTAAACTGAGCTCTTATCCCTTTTGGAAAAGAGCCTTTGGAAATGTAGTGATAGGCCCCAGGGACAAACATTCACCTACTGACTGCGTCAGATGTACTTTGTGGCCAAAGAAGCACATGTTGTTGGAACACGAGTGACCTTACAAACAAACAAGGGAGCCTTATAAAAATATGAAGATTAATCAACCAGACTGCTGTTAAAAAAAAACCCATTTCTTTTCAATATAACGAGATATACTGCAGGTAAAGAGTTTAAATAGGATTAAATTACTTAAAAGTTGTCTGTTTAATCAACGTTTCTAATCTTTCTGTACTCAAAAGAGTGAATTCGGCGCTCTGCAGCGGCCGACCCCGGAGCAGTGACCTCTGGGAGATTCTGCAGGCGGCAGCGGAGCGGCGCACCACTTCTCCTCCACGGCTTTTGTTCTGACCCTCCGGCAGGAAGCTATTCTCCTTGTATGAGCGCTGATAGCGGGAGGGGGGGGTCAGTGGGACAGGCGGTCACGTGACTGTGGGAGCGCGCTTGTATTGTTCACTGGGATGAAGCGGCGCTGCTCACTGCTCCACGGCCGCCGCTGAATGCTGCTGAATGTACAGCGACCAGATGAACCAGGGATGGGACACGTGGGGGGAGGGGGGGGGGGGGTCAATAGCCCACATTTATTGTTTTGTCAGCATCGACATGGTCAAACCTTTCCATCTCCATGAGGTTCTCCACACCAAATCAGATATTCTCGTCTACGGTCTGTTTTTGTTGTTTGCGATTTGTGTCCATTTTGGATGCCGACAACAAAGTAAGTGGCGAATTTTGCCAACGCGGTAAAACGGACGTGAATGTGCCACCTGACCCCTCATCCCGACCTCCACTCAGCGCGGCCACATAAAAACCGATGGACCAAAAAGCTCAGTTTCGACACCCGTTAGCACGACGCGCGTCTTTGGCGCCACCTGTAGGACACGAAACCACAACGTGAATCTCCCAAAGTCGGGTTAAGAAGCTCCGCCCCAGTGAGTCGCGCAGAAGTAAGAACGTAAACAGCTAAATGTAAAAAAGTACAAAATTCAATCTTCTGTAGTTAAAAGAAATGCAGTTTATCGAGAAAATATCGATAATAATGTAGAGATGGAAACAGGATCTCTGTATTGAAATTCTTGTGCTTGCCTTTCCGGAAAGCCGACCAATTTTAAAATTAAAATAAAAATACAATATTTACATAAATGTACATGAAATAAAAAGTAAAAATGAGGTAAGGAGGAAAAGTGCAAGACTGAGCAGGTTGTAAAGGAAAAACTGTGTGGAATATAAATGAACAGTAAAGTAACAGTGAGTGAAACCCTAACAAGCTAAAGTGCAGCCCAGTTGTAAATTAGAGTCCTCTCAGCGGTTGATATCCTTCTCAAACACCATTCAAATACCCAATATTAAGAGAGATTTTACGTCTGCACATTTTAATGAGCGGATAACCAGGACGTGGAACCCGCCCAGTAAACAGACCCCGGGGAGACGGCGAGAAAACAAAGCGGAGTGTTGTTATAGGCTTGGATAGTAAAACAAGGAGAGATAACTGTGTAAATGAGCTCTAGCCCAGCTAGCAGGCTCAGCTCGGGACAGGTGCTTTGCAGATGTCAGGATGTGAGGCCTACCCCCCCCACCCCCCCTCTACTGTTTGAAGCCAACGAGCAACATGATTTAGGCAGGGTAAACACACGGGGCCGGGGTAAATGCCTCCCATCATTCAATTCATTTAGGCCTGTCAGTAATAATGATGCGAAACAATGAGGCCATGCGTCCACCCCCCCTACACCCCCCCGGAGAGATGCCACATGTTGAACAATGTGATTTAGTGTTTGTTTCCAAGCAGCGCCCATAAACACAAACAGACAAACGCTGCAGCACAATCAGAAGTGTAATTTCTTACTAACGCCGAGACTCACAGGGCGAGTTTCAAATCGCATGACTCAACAGCTAATAATTATTTGGTTGTTTACTTCCAAAAACACCCCTCGGGTATGTCTCTGCTATGAAGCACACACACGCACACACACACACGCACACACACACACAGGCCCCGATATTCATGGTCGCTGGGTTTATGAGCTGGTCTAGCTGATCAACAAGCCAGTGTTTCCCGCTGTGTGTTTGCCCGTATACAGACCTTAAAGAAATAAATAAAGATAAAGCAACGGCAAACAGGGAAAGCGAAAGAGAGTTTATTCCTAGACCGGAGCCAAAAGTCCAAGCGCCGACCCCCCCGACACACACACACACACACACACACACACACACCTCCAGAGTCACCTTGTTACCCCTTAAAAAAAGCAGTCCCCTAAAGCTGGCCCCTCCGCAGGGAGAAAGAGGAAGGAGTACTGCCAATGCACAGAAATGGGATGTGTGTGAGTGTGTGTGTGTGTGTGTGTGTGTATGTGTGTGTGTGTGTGTGTGAGGGTGGGGGCGTTGGCCTAGAGCGCTGACTTGTGCCAGGCCAAATAAACGATATCTCTCTCTTTTAAAAAAAATGTATTTTTCATTCCCTTCATAAACAATGTCAGCGATTACTTAGAGAGATGCAGCGGGCGGAGCTGATGCATATCGGCGGTCGCTCTCCGGTGATGTGGGCAGAGCCCCTGAAGGTGGCACGTAGCCAACACACACACACACACATATATATACACAAGAAAAAAGCAATCATCAAGAGGCCCCCAGTTTAAGGGCCCGATAGCGGGTCAAAGGGGGGGGGGTTGATGACGCAGCAAAAAGCTGCTTAAAGTAATAAAGAGTGTACAGTGCCAGCGCGGCCGAATGTTCACTGACTCATTTTATTCAGCGTGTTTAATCAGCAGTGTTTAATCGCCGGCGGTACAAACAAACATTATTGGTGACATCCGGAGAGGAAGAGCGCGAGCCGGGACCTTCAGGGACGCAGCGTTGATGTAGTCGCTCTTTTTGGATTCTGGAACTTTTTTTTTTGGTGCCATTTATTCGCGACGAATGAAGAATTAAGTCACGTTGTGAGTGAAAAACACGGACATGGGCCAGGGTCATATGATATGATGACAAGGTAACAATCTGAACCCAAAGGTCAACCTTTCTTCATCACCTCTCTTGTCCGGGCCAGGAGCATGAAGCTGGAGGCTTGCTCTCCTTCCTGCGACGCCAGCGGAAACCCTCGTGTCAGTCATTCCCCCTTAAAAAAATGTCTGCAGATCCTCGTGAGCCGCAGAGCTTCTAAAATGCGTCGCTGGAAAAGTGATAGATTCTGGATCGGAGCGCCCACCACATCCTCGTTTCCACATATTCCTCTAATGACAAGTTTCCTCTGGTGGTTGTCAAACCCCGTCTGAAAACCAGACCTCACGTCTGCGATATGATTACATTGTTACATGGTGTCGTATGTATTTACATTACATTAAAAGATATGGATCTATCCATCTGTGACCATGTATAAGAATGTTAACTTAACTCCTCGGAAATGCAGCCAACGAGAGTCAAATGCAGCCGTACATTCACAGGAATATAAGGCTGGTCTGCTTTGGAACTTCAAGTGGAACAAAGGTCAGTTTCTAAAGGTACGTCTCCAGAGTCAGTTTCTAAAGGTACGTCTCCAAAGGTCAGTTTCTAAAGGTAAGTCTTCAAAAGTTGGTCTCAAATGCCCCGCCTCCAATGGTCCCGTCTCCAAAAGTCGGTCTTCAAGGGTCCGTCTCCAAAGGGAGAGGGAGGGAGATCGACATCCCCTGTGGAACGCTCCAAAAAGACTTTGACGGAGGAGAAGGAGAAGATGGAGGGTCGGTTCAGTTGAAAGCACAGACGAGAGTCACCAACACAACAGACCGGGTCCATTAGGTCCAAGAGGTCCATCAGGCCCTCGTTCCACTCAAGAGTTTGGTATAATGGAGATGAAGGGGAGAGGAATGGACAAACGGACTCTGACGGAAGGACGTCTTGGTGATTTGTGTGAAATCACCAAATTTGCTGAAATAAAGTTAAGTCAAAGCCTTTGATATCAATGTTTGAGCTTTGTGGAGATCTTCTTTGTCACGTTTAGTGTACCTTTTGGTTGTTGTATCAGGAATAAAACTAATTCTGGCTACATTCAGAAGTGGAAACTTGATTACTGACTCCTTATTTTTGCTATAAAGCCTCTCAAGCATATTAGAGGGGAAGAAACCAATGACTAACGGCTTCATAAATACTTATTTAACTAAACAGTATTTATTAGTGGACCATTGACTTCACAGTTCAGGTTTTACGGTCTACAATAAGCCATCAAGTGTTATTATGCTCAGTGAATAATTGATACGGGTTAATGGTCTAGCTTTCTACTAAGTAGGTTTCTCAGAATAAAGATGCGATTATAAACCACCGTATTACATTTAGTCGTTCCTTTTGCTCCCAGTCGTCGGGGCGACCTCATCCCCCCCCCCTACACAGGCGACTCCACGCTGGACGCATATCCGCGCGCGGAGCGATACGCCGCAGCGCGTCCAGCACTGCGTGTGTGCGCGGCCCTGTTGTAAGATAAGACGACACAAAACCTGAACCACCCCCAGAGAGGAAATTGGGCAGCGAATGGTAACGAGATCCAGCAGAGAATAACAGAACAGAAATGAGGATGGCAGGGGTTACACAAACACACCTGACACGTTTTAGCGCGAGAACAGGAGAATAAGGAGGGTAAACATCCGGATGGGAGTGCAAAATAGTGACGTAACAACCTTTAGCCCTTACGTGTTAGAATTTAACAATGATAAAAAGA